CACAAAAATACACTGGAATTTCAAATGAATAAAAACACAGAGGGAAATATTATGTTGATATAATTAGAAGACAGATGTATAATGAGTTCAGAATTATGACTGTGGTCAGTTCTTCTACCTAAATGTTTATGTGCTACTGAAATATTAACAATAAATAGATCTCTAACATTCAGGTCACAACTTAGCTGAACCCATATGCAGTGATGATTCAATAAAAATGTTATAAAATCTTTCTGAAAGTTGCTGTTTAATATTATCAGCAGGAAATGCCTTTTAAATGTATGTGTACGTATTTATATAAGTAAAACCATATATGTATATATCGATATACATATATATAATTATAAACACACAGACCATATAAAAGGACACAGTAAATAAAAAGAGAAACATTTTGACTAAATTTGAATATTAGTAATTGATATAACATATTCATATTTAATTTGTTACCAAATTAACAAATGCTAACCTTTTCACTTTTATTTTAAGTTCAGAGTACTTGTGCAGGATGTGCAGGTTGTTAAAGAGAAAAACGTGTGTCATGGGGGTTTGTAGTACCAATTATTTCATCACCTAGGTATTAAGCCTATTATTCATTAGTTGTTTTTCCTGATCCTCTCCCTCCTCCCACCCTCTATTCTCCTCTAAGGCCCAGTGTGTGTTGTTCTCCTCTGTGTGTCCATGTGTTCTCATCATTTAGCTTCCACTTATACGTGAGAACATGCGGTATTTGGTTTTCTGTTCCTACGTTAGTTTGCTAAAGATAATGACCTCCAGCTCCATCCACGTTCCTGCAAAGGACATGATCTCATTCTGTTATGGCTGCATAGTATTCCATGGTGTAATATGTACATATTTTCTTTATCCAGTCTATCACTGATGGGCATTTGCGTTGATTTCATATCTTTGCTATTGTGAATAGTGCTACAAAGAACATATGCACGCATGTGTCTTTATAACAGAACAATCTCTTATCACTTAGGGTGTATACCCAGTAACAGGACTGCTGGGTTGAATGAGAGTTCTGACTTTTGGTCTTTGAAGAATCATCACACTGTCTTCCACAATGATTGAGGTAATTTATACCACCACCAACAGTGTATAAGCAGTCCGTTTTCTCCACAACCTCACCAGAAAAATGCTGACATTTCTATGTACCTTGAAAACTGAAAAAATTTATAACGTGTAACCCAAAAATGAAGACATCTTTATGTAATTTTTTTCATTTAAAGTTATAAGAATAATTCATATGCTCAAATAAAATTTTTCTATTAATGATTCAGAGATTCTTCTAGTATAAGAAAGATGGCTTTAGGTTTTATGTTGAATATTAGACTAAGTAAGAAGAGTGCTAATCATTTTTCTTAGCAGTGGCTTCAATAACAAATCAATTCACTTTTTTCATTAGCATATCTCAAGAAATTGACTTGCACATTAGAATAAACTTTCTTTTGTGATAGGAAATTATTCCTAACAATTTTAAATAAAAGTGTTTCTGTATAGGTACAGTAAATGTAAGAGAGAGGGTCAAAGCAATTATTCTGAGAACTGGACTAGAAAACTTCGCCACAGGAACTGGGTCAAAGTGTTTGGTTTGTGCTGTTCCCAAGTACCCAAACATAGCTAGTTTTACATCAACTGAATTAACTGACTATGCATTCCACTTACTGATAGCGCCTTAAAGAATGACTCAACTATTTCTCAGTCACGAAATTTGGCCACAGTTCAGGCTAATCTTGCTCAGTAAATTGCATCAGTCATTCTATAGGTTATAGGTTGAACACTAAAGAACAGTTAGAAAAACTGAACATATATGGTACAGATGGGCTCAATGTTTGGAAATAAATGACTTGAGTCCTGACCAGCAAACTGTAAAAGATTGTGCTCATATACAATCTAATGATATGGCATCTCAAAAAAAAAAAAAAAAAAATCCTTGGTTTTTAGGAGTTAAAACAACCAAAAATCTATGGTTAGCATTTTTAACATTTGGCAAGAGGTGGATGATATGATATCTTAAATAGGTTTCAAGGCACTTAAACTTTGTTAATTTTACTAAAGTAACAGATGTGAAATTGTAAACTGAGAATCACAACCTCATTGTGAGTCAAGCAGATCTTCAGTACAATTGAGAAAGGCATTTAAATCAAATATACTTTTCAATAATAAATTCAAGGTAATACAATAAACACTAGCAGAAGTATATTTAGACAAGTACTGCACTATCAATCAATAAGGGATTTGGAAGATCACCTTGTGATTTTTTCCATACGAAAGTTACCCTGTTTTTTTTTTAACTTTTATACTCCTTTTGTTAAAAAGGAAAATTTTCTTATAAAAAAGAAAGCAAAGCAAAAAAAAAAAAAAAAAGAAAAAATCACCTTAGAATTTTTATCCTTAACAAAAATTAACAAAACAACCTCAAATATGATTATTTTTAGTATAAAATTAATATATATAATTGATATTACAAATTGGTGTTTTGTAAAAGTTTTCAACTATTCCCAATTTTTATAATTCAGTTATTTCATGTATCTAATTTACCAATTAATATAATAAAAATCACACATCGAATTTGTATAATGGATAACTTAAGAAGTAATGCCACCTTTCATACCTACATAGAAAACCAAAGTGTATCCCTTAACCACCCCCGCCAAAAAATTGAAGAAGAATAATCAAACTATAAAAGTTAGCAATGCAACTGTATTTACACGAGCTGGAATAAACAATTTGGTTTATTTAGTGAGAGAGCAAGTAAATTTAGTATACCCACATCCAGTTGATGAGGATGTTAAACAGGTATCAGAATCAGCGTGAAGGCAAGTAGGAATGCCTAGAGAAGGTGAGGTAGGAAATGAATGGGATTTCAAAGGATGGTATGTTAGGATAAATGCGGGTAGATGAAATGAAAGTGAGAAACTGTTTTTCAGTTTTCCTAAGGCCTTGTTAAATGGTGAGTATTTTCTTTTCACTGGAAATGATTTTCTAGGTGGCCTGTAGGAGGAGTGCTATATACTACTGCCACCCTTTTCTACTTCTTTTCTTTTTATGTTGAAAATAGTTATTTTTTATATCTAGAATATTTTATATATTTTTAAAATAAATCTTATGATTGTAAAGCTAGGAGGAAATTAGAAAATCATTTAGTCTAACCCCTTATTTTAGTGATAGGGGAACTAAGATCCAGAGAAGCTATGGTTTATTAGTAGCAATTCCCTTGTTTCTAATCAAACATAAATGTACTGGTGTGACTAAAAGGTTTAAAAAACTGTATTTAATATTATTAAAAGCAAGAGACAACAAATACACATAGAAAATGCTCCAGAATTACAAAAAAAACATTATCAAAAGAAACTCTCCACTCAGACCAGCTAGTCATCTGTTCTGATGCTAGCAACAAATAGTGAATTAAAATAAAGTTTGTAAAAAAATAAAGGAAAAGGCACTGAATGATGAAAGTATGAACACATGAATTTACTGCAAATACACAAAGTATATACAAAGTACTTACCAAGTATATATAGTATCCTGGAGAAACTCCATAAAATGAGAAATATAAAGCTTCTCATATTACTATTTTCTCCTCAATTTATTTCTATCTCTATTTCATTGCAAGAATAAACTATACGATGAGATAATAAAATGGGATACATCTCCTTAATTCAAATCCCCAGCACCCTTTTATATGTAATAACTAGAAAATCTATTTCATTGGGGCTTTAGTTATGTGGTTCTAAATGGACCACTCTCATATGCTTAGTTAAGGTGAAAAACAGAAGTTCAGGTTACAGAGTTTGATGCTATAAAATTCTGCATAACTTTCCATGACTATTACTATTACATCATTTCAGTACATTAAAATACATTGTTCTGGACAGTGACTCACATACCTGTAATTCCAGCACTGTGGGAGGCCGAGGAAGGTGGATCACCTGAGGTCAGGAGTTTGATACCAGCCTGGCCAACATGGTGAAACTCCATCTCTACTAAAAAAATACAAAAATTAGCCGGGCATGGTGGCATGTGCCTGTAGTCCCAGCTACTTGGAAGGCTGAGGCAGGACAATCACTTGAACCCGGAAGGTAGAGGCTGCAGTGAGGTGAGATTGTGCTATTGTTCTCCAGCCTGGGCAAGAGAGCGAGTCTCTGCCTCAAAAAACAAAAACAAACAGACAAAACCCTACCATTGTGTTAAAATAAATATATCCATTAAATATAACTTAAATATATATGTTCCTAAGATACTATTTGCTCATATCTATGATCAGAGCCAACACAAATATTTTTCATCTAAATAACCTATATTAATACTTCTTAAAGTATCTCTCTGGTGGAATGCAACATGAATTTACATAGGGCACATGGGTAAACATTTTTAATTTTACTATTTAAATACTGACTCCAATATGTATTAGGAAAAATTACACATGATTTTCTATATTAAAAGTGAGTCAACTTAGAAAACATTAAGTAAATAACAATACAGGTAGCATGAGAATATGGCAAAACATGTATGTCTAAGGTTTGGGAAATGCTGCCTTACATAACGTAACTTCTCTGGAATGAGCTAGCATAAATATTATTGTTGAAAGATGTGAAAATTCCAAACTAAATTATATTTTATCCTCTTTATTACTGCTTAGCTTTGATCTCATAAAGTAAGCATAAGAAGAAAGTAAGTTCTTTCCATAGAAATTTAAGGTATTTTACTGACAGAAGACAGCTTATTAAAACCAGCAGTTTAATGAGTAAAAATCACCTCTCTAACTTGCCAGTAAAATTAAAAACTCTAATTCACCTTATTAGAGGGCATACGTATCAGTAACATTCTGCATAATACTACATATACTACATTCTGCAAACTATCACAGTACTAAAACTGTCTAACACATACTTGCCCCAGTCCCATCTGTGTTGTTCTTTTCCCTCTATAAAAGGAAATGTTCATTAGAGACTACTAGAAAGCTAAATTAAACTACTAAAAACTCAAATACTTACTGTCGCTGGGGAGGCCCGAGTTGTGTGTGTCACTGAGTGACCAGAATTCTCCATTGAATTGCCGATCAGATAGGTTCCTCCAGAGCTGCTGATGAGTTGTCCTCCTGTGACGCCCATCTGAATCCCACCAGTGCCCACCATACTGTGGGATGAGACCACAGTAGTCACCTGTGCGGAACTACCTTGAGTATCAAAGTAATTCCCTCCAGTGTTTTGGCTGTACATCTGCGTCTCTGTGTAAGGATAAGTTGTTGTTCGGCTTTAGAAGAAGAAGAAAAAGAAAAAAAGAAACTTAACTAGCTTATTTATGTCACCTTATTAAATTTTTTTCTAATATTGAATGTAATTGAAATATATTTGTTGGCTTAGCCTTTGGAACATGGCAAGTTTTGCATTTTGTACAAAACTTCATTCCCAGAAACAGTTGGAATTACTTTTCAAATTAAGAGTCCAATCATTTAAGTAAGTACCTCAACTAGTTTCTGTACTTTAGAGCTTTTGTCCCCTCCTGGTGCCTACCTCCAGCAAATAAATAAGCTCAGGTCTCTTCCCTCCAAGAAAGCTTGCCCAGCAACTTCTTCAATTGCTTAAAAAATCTACTACAAATCCCAGTTTTAGGAAAGTTGGGACCTGGAACAAGTAGGAGCAGTGTGAGTAGTGGACTTAGCTCCTACTTAGCTAATACTCAGACTATTTCACATTCCTGGGTGACTCCCAATAAACCTCCATGATTAAAGTAGCTTGCACGGATCTCTTTCTTACCTCCATAAAGATCTTGAGCAAACAGTTCACCCACCTTAGACCCTAAGTCCCTTGCTCATATCTCTCTTTCTGTTCACACTTAAGTTCCTCCTTCATAAGACGACTATTCTAACTCCTCAAGTCCTCACTTTCCATTTTCCAACAACTACAGTAAAGCTTCTGCCCTTAGCCTTTCATAAGAACTGCTTTTAATAAGGTCACTTGTGAGCACATCTAAATACCAAGCTAAAGGCTCCTGCCAGTCCTTATCTCTTGTGACCTATCTGCAGTATGATACTGGGGACCACTCCATGTTGCCCTTTCTCTCCTCTTTCTCTTCTGATTATGCTCATTTGATTGATCTGTTTTTCATTTTCAATTGACTATAATCTAAATTTTGAGAGGATTTCTTTAAACATTTTATTTTGAAACACTAAGTTCTCAAGAAGTTATAAAAATATATATAGAACATATTTTATTTTAAACATTCAAATACGAAATTGAAATTCCCAGTTCTTTTACAATTATCTTCAATGCCACCTCGCAGAACCAGCTATTCCTGAGAGTTTGGTGTTTTCAGACATATCCTATATGTATCTTAAGGCCTAGATACCTTAACCTCTTTTGTCCCTTAGTGTGTATGACCCTTCTTTTCCACTGTTTGCTTTTTTACCATAACCTCTCAAGAGACTTTTGGAGTCTCCAATTTTTCTAGCACATCAAATATTAGTATTTTCTGAGGTTTCCATTTTGAGCTCTTATTTTTATTTAGATCAAAGACCTTTACCACATACAGTATTTGTATAACCATATACATGCTTTTAGTAAACAATCTTACATAAGTTGGCATCACTGCTTTCTTTACTTCCTAGTTATACTTTAAGAATATCAAATCTGGGTTTCTAACAGCCAACTGGTCATCACTACTCAGAACTCCTTTGAAATATGGGAGCCTGTGTAAAATTTAACGTATGATGAGATTCCTTCCCGTCTTATTCTTTCTTCCACACCCCTGCTTCTCAGTAGAGGGCAGCATCACTATCTTCAACTTTGGAAATTATTGCTTACTCTTCCCTCTGACTGACAGAAGTTGCCGAGTCTGTCAATTTTATCTTCTAAATAATTTTCCAATTCTCCTTTCCTTTATCATGCACACTACCTTAATTCAAATGTTTTCTATTATACAGGCTGAGAATACCTTATCAACAATGCTTGGGGCCACAAGTGTTTAGGATTTTGGATATTTTCAGATTTTGGAAATATTTTCATATATAAAATGAGAGATCTTGGGGTTAGGATCCATATCTAAACATGAAATTCACTTATGTTTCGTAAACACCTTATACGCATAGCCTGAAGGTAATTTTATAAAATATTTTAAGTACTTTTGTGCATGACACAGTTTCTATATGCTAAACCAGGCATCCCCAAACTACGGCCCGCAGGCCACATGTGGCCCCCGAGGCCATTTATCCGGCCCCCCAGCGCACTTCAGGAAGGGGCACCTCTTTCATTGGTGGTCAGTGAGAGGAGCACAGTATGTGGCGGCCCTCCAACGGTCTGAGGGACAGTAAACTGGCCCCCTGTGTAAAAAGTTTGGGGACGCCTGTGTTAAACCATCAGAAAGCAAAGATGTCACTATCGCATGTTAGTGCTCAAAGTTTCAAATTTTGGAGCATTTCAGATTTCAGATTTTGCATCAGGGATGTTCAACCTGTAACTGCCTTCGAATTGATTTTCCCTTCTCTAATCAGGTGCTCTTGGCGATCTATCTCCAACTCTGCTGCCAGGAGAATTTTCTATAATGCAAATATAAAAATAAAACTTCGCTTAAAAACCTTTCCATGATTCTCTCTTGCCCTCAGAAAAAGTTCAAAACTTTTGTCCACCTGACAAAAATCATCAGAGGCTCATGCCTACATAATGTCCAGACTTGTTAGCCATGTTATCAAATGCTCTCTCCACTCACATCATATCAACCATTTTGCTGGTCCCGCTAAAGTGCCGTTTTCTCTTGCCTCTCTGCTTCACTACAAGTATTCCTCTGCCTGAAAGTCCTTTTCATTTTTTTCCACCTCCCTTCCTTTGTCCTAATCATCCTTAAACTCTCAGCAGAAGCTCCTTATTTCAAAATTACTTCCTGCATCCTTTGCCCTCTATGGCCACTCCTCACAGTGCTGTTATGTTTTAAGCTCTGTACTTTTCCAATCCTTTGAATTACTGAAACATAGCTCTCGATGTGTTGCTAATTTCTCCATGTCTTTGTACTCCCATCAGTAATCTCGACACTTAACACAGTTGCTGGTACATAGCAGGCACACTAAGTAGTCAGCAAATAAAGATATTTACAAGTACATTAGACATAATAGCCAGTTTCATAAATTTCTGTATCATAAATCTTTTATTTTCTTAAAACATGAGAAATTATGCTAAACTACTCCAAGATTTGTTTAATTTAAAACAAGTACTATTAACCCATTATAAATTATGCTTATAATTTATAATATATATTAGTAAAAAAATTATAGTATTCTGAAAGCATTTCAGACTGGGTAAAGGGCCCTTTCCAGAAAGAGCTATAGCAAATCCAGGTAAAAATATTAGTTTGGGGTGATGATAGAAACAACTTCGTAGAAATTTTCTTTTTTACACATAGGAAAATATCATTTAAAATACACATACTATTCTTCTCATCATTGTTGTATTTCCCAACTGGAAATCTCATTTATTTCTCTATTTACATATTTATTTAATGAAATAAAATAGCCATTTTGATTTCAAATTTGGATAAAAAGAGAAATGAAGTCATTTTAATTTCTGTCTACTGAATATGACAGTGGCCCCACTTAACTGTGCTTAAAATAACACAATCTGATGTTGGCATTTAAGTATAGTCAAGTAAGTTGTAGAAATAGATATAGGACAATAAATACTTTGACAGATGCCGGACATGGTGCCCCTTTCCTTTTCATCACCCAAGCAGGATGATTCAGGAAGCCTCCTACTAGAAAGTAGATTTCTCAAATAAAACATAACAATAGCAAAATATAGCTAATATTTACTGTCCATTGACTATGCAGCAGGCACTATTCTATGTGCTTTTTAGGCATTAACTCATTAAACTTTCATTATAACTCTAATAGGTAGGTGTTGTTATATTAATAATTCCTATTTTACATATAAGGTGAATAACTTAAGTTTGGATTGATTAAATAACTTAGTCCAAAGCACAGAGCTGATACATCATGGATTTGGAATCTAAACTCAATCTATATTCTCAACTATTACGTCACAAAAAAGAACATAACTTTTTATATCTGTCAACGATACATGTCAACAACTACTAAGAAATAGCCTAACAAGTGGAATAGGGACTATATGACCTTCCTGTTGCTATGTGAGATTTCCTTACAGCTTACCTTACTATCTTCTAGGAGTACACTATTATCCATTATTACCAAGAACGAGGCCTGTTGACTATGTACTTGCAATTGTAAAGAGGAGGCCATGGAAAAAGCGGGGCCATTTCTGAAGATACTTAACCACTGCAGCTTTTGGGCCTGCCCTCTTTTATCATTATAGTCAGTAAAGAACAATAATGCAAATAAATGCATCACAGATATATACAATCTCTATACAGCCCTCAATGTCAGTTCATAAACTAGAAAATGGCCAAAGAACAGAAGAAGGGAGAAAGTCACTAAACAGTATACCTAATCCATAAACTATCCCCATTACTCCATCATGGAACTGTGAAGGCTTGTCTACTATATAAATACACATTGGGGTAAAGAGTGGTGATTTTTAAGGAAAAAAAACTATACAATTATATTAAGGAATAAAGTGTGATAAATTCTCTGAATTTGGCTTTGACAAAAATATACTTGCAGTTGGAAACAAAGGAGACTTTCAAACACCGGATTGAGTAACAGAAGTAGATTATCTTTAGCTGGGCCAGGTATAGTAGCTCACGCCTGTAATCCCAGCACTTTGGGAGCCTGAGGTGGGCGGATCACCTGAGGTCAGAAGTTCAATATTCGCCTAGACAACATAGTGAAACCCCGTCTCTACTAAAAAAGTACAAAAAATCAGCCAGGCGTGGTGGCACACACCTGTAATCCCAGCTACTTGGGAAGCTGAGGCAGGAGAATCACTTGAACCCAGGAGGCAGAGGTTACAGTGAGCCAAGATCATGCCACTGTACTCCAGCCTAGGTGACAGACTGTGACTGTATCTCAAAAAAATAATAATAAAATAATAATATATTTAGCCATTGTCCCTTAAAGGTAAGAAGGCAAGCATGAACCCCCTTGTTGGATTCCCTGGAGCCACAGCCAGAGTCATGCGCAAGTAACCAGTAACTCGTAAAGGTTTTTTCCATGTCTAAATACTTTAAGCTCCTGAATAAATACTTAAGAATTTATTTTAAAAAAGAAGCACCAACAGCAAAAATAAACAATTCTTTTTTAGGTACTAGAAATAGACTCTCTAATTCTGATATTTCAGATCAGCTCATCT